CAGTCTGTTACATTAGGAGCTACAGTCCCAGTCCAGTAGACCAGTCTGTTACAGTAGGAGCTACAGTCCCAGTCCAGTAGACCAGTCAGTTACAGTGGTGACAGAAATACTAAGAGACAGCAGCAGACAGGAGAGATGGTGGAGGCAGAGGATTAGAGGGAGAGGAGAGGCAGAGGGATAGACGGAGTGAGAGAGGGAGAGAGGGAGAGGAGGAGAGAGAGGGGTAGAGGTGAGGCAGAGGAAGAGAGAGGCAGAAAGGATAGAGGCAGAGGGATAGAGAGAGGGAGAGAGGGATAGAGAGAGGGAGAGAGAGAGAGGGAGAGAGAGAGGGAGAGAGGCAGAGGGAGCTGGCGGTAGTTGGCAGTCTCTGAGTATCTCGCCTCTCTCTCCAGCCTGGGAAGCCGGTCGATATTTAATTGTTATTGCAAGCAGGGAACGCAAGGAAGCGGCTCCTATAAGAAAATTTCTAATTTATTTTGTATTTTTTCTCTGTCTTTCTCGCGGAACGGCGATGGGGGGCTCCCGGGCAGGGGACGCATGCGCGCGGGCGGGGGTGCGAGGGGGTGTCGGGGTACAAGTCCATTTATCACACTTTGGGGAAGAGAAACCGGCGGAGAGGCCGGGGAGGGGGGGCGTGAGAAACAGAGAGACGACAAAAGCCGTTTTCTGAAAACAAGTTTTGTCAGATATATATTTTTCTTAGACTTCAGCTTAACCGTAACACCAACCGCCTTCTCCTCCTCCTCCTCCCCCCAAACTCTCCACCTAACCCCCCTCCACCCTCACCCCCCCACGATCCGTTCCCCTTCTGTCTAAATGAAAAATCAGTCACTTTCATCAACTGCTCGGCCAAATATTATCTACACTCCATTCAAAGAGATCGAATCTTATTTAGGCCGGCGATCCGACATCTGTTTTCAAATTTCATCTGCTATGAACTTTATTTTCCGAGTTTCGGGGAAAATTATACTCCATCGATCCGAGGCAGACCAGCGCCGCTCATATATTTTCCGGGCCGGTCCGCCCGCCCCGGAGCGCGCAGAGAGCACACGCGTGTCCCTCTCCGGTCAGAGAGGCAGCGGGGCTCTGGAGACACACGTTCACCCCGAGCAGCCTCTCTCCCTCTCTCCCTCTCTCTCCTCCTCTGCCTCTCTCCTCCTCTCCGTTCAGTGTGGCACGCACGAGCACTCTCGCCCTCTCGCCGGGAGCACCGCACGAGCCCCCGGGTCCGGCCGCCCGAGTGACTTCCGGAATGCCGGCGCTCGCTGAGAGACCGATGGCCGGAGAGTCGGACTGATTGATAAAGAGGTGGAGTGATTTTTTCTTTCCCTGCGCTTTCCTGCGGCGAGGAAGAGTCCCCCGCAGGTGGAGACCGCGGGCACCTGCGCGGCGCTCACCGGGAGAGTCTAACACACTGACCGCCCTACTGCCCCTCCTCCTCCTCCTCCTCAAGACCCGCTTTTTCAAAGAAGAGAAAATGACCTTTTTTGCCGTCTGCGAGTCAGAAGTCCACAAATAACTAACTTCGCCAACCCGCCTCCGCGACCCTGAGCGAAGACGAATCGGATTTAAAACCCGATGAACACAGCTGAGAATTTTGTAAGTACAACTTCATTTCTGAACTGCTGAGACCCGGAAAGACAGACAGGCACACAGATGGACAGGTCCGCAGACACACAAGTATATAGATGCAGCGATACAGAGAGAGGCACTCAGATACAGAGAGCTAGAGACTCAGTTACAGAGAGATAGAGGCTCAGATACAGAGAGATAGACTGATAGATACAGAGACAGAGGCTCAGATACAGAGAGATAGAGTAGATACAGAGACTCAGAGACAGATACAGAGAGATAGACACTGATAGAAAGATATAGAGAGATAGAGGCTCAGATACAGAGAGATAGACACTGATAGAAAGATACAGAGAGATAGAGGCTCAGCTACAGAGAGATAGAGGCTCATACAGAGAGATAGACTGATAGATACAGAGACAGATATGGAGAGATAGACACTGATAGACACAGAGACAGAGACTCGGAGACAGAGAAACAGAGACTCAGATATGGACAAACAGAAAAAATGAACTAGACAGAGAGATCAGGACAGAAACGCAGAGCTCACTCAGGAGGCTGTGATGGAGTATGCACTGTGCACATGTAGAGACACAGCAGTGCTTCACTGCTCGGCTTCAGGAAGCTCTTGCTCAAGGTGGAGCTGGGAGATTGTCTTATTGTGCACTCAAGGCTGTGTGTGTGACTGTACACTCAGGGGGATGTGTGTGACAGTACTCTCAGGGCGATGTGTGTGACAGTACTCTCAGGGCGATGTGTGTGACTGTACACTCAGGGCTGTGTGTGTGACTGTACACTCAGGGCGATGTGTGTGACTGTACACTCAGGGCGATGTGTGTGACTGTACTCTCAGGACTATGTGTGTGACTGTACTCTCAGGGC